AACACCGGGATACGTCCCTATGTTTCTTTGCATGATTATAAGTTATGTCCGGTTTTCGTGCATTGTCTTGCATTTTGCCCCTGCCTTCGGGCGCATATCTTGTTTGTCTTGCATGTTTGTCTGAGTCTTCGGCCTTGTCAAAAATGGGTTGTCTCTGGGCTTTGACATTCACTCCCATCATTGTTATGACTTTCGAGTTCTGTCAAAGAGGGGCAACTGTAGACACCCCATTTTTGACCGTCCTCAAGACTTGGACGTCATCATTGGAACACCCGGTGATCCTCTTTGTTTGTGTTTCGTCTTGAGTTTCCGAAAGTCTTGGCTGCGTGCCTTGCCTCAGGATCTCTCGACTCGACTGTTCTGTGTTTGGTTTTGGCACCAAACACTTGTGTTTTTGCCTTGAAGGGCGGGGAATGGGTTGTTGGCCATCCCCACATTCCACCGGTCTTCCCCTAGCCTCACCGGCTGTTTATGGGTGCCACCGGCCATGGTTTCTTAAAATCAATGGCCGATCGGCACTATATTTGGCCGGCCGGCACTTTATTTTGCCGGCGACCTCTTTTGCTGGCCGATGTGACACCTTTGCACCCTTGAGGCATGGTGCATGCCAGCTGGAATGCACCATCACTCTTCCCCGTGCAGTTTTTGGCTGGTGTGAACCTTTGAACCCCCTTTCCTCCTAGAAGCTTGAACCCTTTGGCCAAGCTTCTTGGGGAAGCTTGGCCAGCTGTATTAGCTTCTCCAAGAAGCCAAGAACCCTTTTGCACCCTTTGCCCCTTTTCATCTAGCTTCTTGGAGAAGCCTAGAACCTTGGCCTTTGCCTATATAAGCACTCATCCTCTCCCCTTGTTAGGGGTTAGAGCTTTTGAATAAAAAAACCAGAGCTTCTATATCTATATATCTGATATATCATTCTCTCTCTCTATATCTCCTTCTCTCTCATCTTTAGGGTGTGTTTGGAAGCCTAAAAGTGCGTTTTGACCTTACTTTTGCACTAACACACACACCATTACACCTTACTCCGAGATTGAGAGGCATTGAGGGTTGTTTGTTGAGGTTTTGGACTGATTTTGATCAGTAGAGAGTGGCTGGATCATCTGTTCTTCAAGGTTTCTTCAAGGGTGAGACATTTGCTTTAGTTTCCCCAATCTTGCACTAGTTTTCTACCTGTCTTGCATGCTGATTTAGGCTTTGTGTATAACATGAAAAAGTCTTGTATTTTTGTGCTTAACATCTTTCATTAAGGGCGTTTTGGCATTGGGGGTCGAACTCCTCCCCTTAGGCCTCTTTTGGCCTATTTTGGTGCCCTTTTCTTTAAGCTTTGTTTACTTTTTTGTGTTGGTCTTCTCACCACTGAAATCCAGTGGATTTTTAGTGGTGATGGAGTGATTTTGAAGTCTTGTGTAGGGGAGGGACACCCCTCTCCCCTTTGTCCTTCTTTTACCTTTGTTTTGGCTTAAAAGGGCAACATGCATGCTTGGTTGTTTTTGGTCCCATCTCAGAGGTTTTTGGGTGCCTATTAGTCATGTTATATCTCTGTCTTTGGTCGGATTTGCAGCCCTTAGCTTGCATCTTGTACTTGCTTTGTAATTCCTTATCTTGCCTAGAAATGTGCCATGTGTTTAGCTTAGTATATCTTCATGATTTGGCTTAGCTTATTGAAGTTTTTGGTCATGATTTGTCATGCTTTAGGTCTGTTGGCCACTGTTTTGGTCATGTTTGTCGTGTTTTACATAGCTCCTTTGCATTCTAGAATTTTGGCCTTGAGCAAATGAGTCATTAGCATGTTTTGGTTAGGTTGTTTAAATGATTTGGAGTCACTTCTCATGCTATTTTAGTCCCTATATCATGCTTGTATGACAGCATTTATCATCCTTTTATGCCTTAAGGTGTTGTGGTTTTGTGTCTTGAAACGGGCATTGTGCATGCTTGTATGTTTAAGTCACTTGGGTTGCCATTCATGAGCATTTTGGGGCGTGTTTTAATGCATTAAAACTCTATTTTTTTTTTGGGTTGTTTCATTTATACCATGTGTGGTTATGATAGTTGTGGTAGAAGGCTTCTTTTATGCCTTAGCCTTATGCTCTTTTTTATGCAAGTTTGCATGAGTATTTGCCCATCATTCCATCACTTTTGGCCACTGTTTTGGGATGTGGCTGAGGGTCCTCCATCTTAGTGTAAGTCCATGGATCATATATTTGCACCTTGTAATATGCTCATGACATTGCATGTTGTGGTGTCCTTATGGTTTGTGCATTGTTGCATGCCCACCTCCTTACATACTTGCCTATCTAGTGTGCATTGTAGTATTGCTTGTAGTGTTGCATGCTAGTGGCATTACCATGTTGTTTGCATGATAGTTTGCATTGCATCACATTTGACATGTTTTGCATCTTAGCTTCTTGTTACATTTTTGAGCCATGTTTGCACAACATGCATTGCATTGCTTGGTTTGGGGTGTCAAACCTAGTGTGAGGGTGAGAGGTGTTCATACTACAAGTGATGAAACACATCTCAACCCTCGGTCACCGGGGCCCTTGACTTTGACATGATAGGGTCTTGGTCCTCATTTGTGTGTTGCATACATTTTACATTGAATGGCAAGTTTGGTCCCTTAGGCTATCATGCGTAATTGATGGCCCAAGGATCAAGGACCATGCTCCATTGAGTTCAATACATGATAGGGAACATGACCATGCTTACATGTGCTTGAAATTCTATGCCATGCACTACCTGTCCTCTGTTGTTGTAAAAAACCAGCTTCTGCAGGAAGTTTTTGTCGACCGGTACTGTAGAATGCCGACCGGCCGTGTATTGGTGGCCGATAGACTTGAAAGCAGCCGATGGAAGTTTCCCATGGCCAGTGGTCATTTCACTTAGCCGGTGGTGTCATGCAGTGCTCATTAAAGATACCCTGAGACTTTGGCAATTTTCAAAGGAGCATCGCAGCATTAACATAGGCAGCAGTGGCATGGTACGGATTTCCGGGCAAAATGGACCGAGCATGCATCATTCGCGTATCCCGAGGCACGGGCTGCGGCCATCTTCTCTTTGCATTTAACTTGTTAATTAGATTAGAAATTTTGTAATAATTAATTTAGTATTATTTATTCGGACTGTAATATTCTTTTGGTCCCTCCGAGTGAGGGCAATTGTGTAATAAGTGTGCGTGAGTGTGTGTATGTCTTCCAACCCCACGTCTTTCTTCCCTTTTATTTACCTGCTTATGATGGTAGACTAGGGCATATCTAAATTAGCATACCTTATGCTATGCATGCGTGCATTCATACATTTGTCTTGCATGCACCGGGCTCGGCGCATCATTCTAACTGCATTTGTATTTCAATTCCAAATTGAATACGTGTTAGTTGTAG